CCAGCCCTCGGACGCGGGACGCCGACTGAGGAGCCAGCTCTGGTGGCCCCGCGGGGGCGGTGGCCGGGCGCGCCGTGTCCCCGCGTAAGTTGTGATGCTCTTTACAAACGTCGCTCGGTGTTGAGCCTCTCGTCCTGGGAGCCAGAAGCTGTTTACTTGCAGCAAACATTCAGCGGTGAGAGTTACGAAGACTTCTGTTCACAGATGCTGAATGCAGGCGGTCTACTTGCTCTTGACTGTTGTTTTGCTTTTTGTTCACTTTCTTTTTCCTGGTAGCCAGTGATTGAAGAGGATTAAACGAGAAAAATCACATCTTTAACCCCTCCCCGCCATTGCCCAGCAGGACGTGTGGCAGCAGCCCTCGTTCCCGACGCCCCAGTTCTCCGTTCCCGACGCCCCAGTTCTCCGGCGGCGGGACTGGGCAGTCAGCCTGTCGAGCGTGGCTTCGCAGGGGGCGTGGTGAATGTTGTAATGCTGATTTATACCAAGGGATTTCCAACACAGGGATCTGTAAAGAGTGAGTTATAGTAATGAGAGGATTTTTTTTAATGAGATGAAAATTTACAAACACACATTTTTAATATTGTTTTTATATCAGGAAAGGAGAATAGAAGATGGCTTAAAATTAATGAGTTGTATAGAGGAAATAGGTATATTAGCAGTGCAGGTAGAAAACTGGTGGAGGTCATATATGGCAGATTGGGATGGAGAGGGTTCAACTGTCCAGATCTCTGGGACTCTTCCTTTGAAAAAGGCAAGGCACCTAATACCTGCCCCCCTTTTCAGTTTTTTAATTATAAAAAAATTTTAACATAGTCTTCAGTTGGGACTTTTTATACTTTATACTACTATCCTTTTAGTTCAGTAACATAGAGCTACCTCATTCTTTTTCAAGTTTGTGTTATTCATTGTGTATACTTATTCAGCCATTTTATTTAGAGTACACATTTAGGTTCTTTCCAAGTCTTATTAAATAAAGGCTATAGTGAACATCCTTGTACATATATCTTTTCCCCCAGTTTTATTGAAATATAATTGATATACAACATTGTATTTAAGGTGTGCAACATAATGACTTGATATATTTGCACACGTATGTTTAGAGTGTCATGCCATATATTAGTAGGACAGATTTCTAGAAGTTGGGCTGCTGGGTCAAAAGACATGGAAATTTAAATGTCTAATAGAGTCTTCCAGCTTCCTTCCCATAAGGTTGTACCTATTGATGCCCACACCAGCATGTTATGAGATAGTCTGTTTCCCTACCGTGGAGCCAGTGCTGATACTTCAAATGTAAAAAAATTTGCTAATATTTTTCATTTAACATTTTTAATGATTGCCTAACTGGTCTTGTTCTGCAGGTACCATACATTTTTCAGCCTATCAGCAGATGGGCATTTACTAAGTATCCTGTTGAATGTTACTTAGTTTCTTTCTTTTTTGCTGCTGCATAAACAGTGTTACAATACAGATTTCTCTGAGCATATGTCAGTGTGTAGTGGGTTTATTGCTGTGAGAAAGGTTCCTGTGTTGAAGGATATTATGTAGCTCTAATTTTAATGGATAGTGCCATTTTGGTTTTTCAGAAGCCTGATATTCTTTACATTTCCCTTGGCAGCAGTGCATGAGCTTGTCCCTTTTCCCACATCCCCGACAGAGGTATTACCTATGTTTTTATTTTTTTCCAACCAGTAAAAAGATGTCTTAGTTACTCGAATTGCATTTTCGCTTCCTTAGTAATTTAGAGTGTCTTTTTGTGATTTGTTTTTCCCTGGGATTTGTTTTTTTGTGCATTTCCAGTCCTGCCCTTTGCCCATTTTTCCTGCTGGGTTGTTTGTCTTTTTATTGATTTGTACATACATGTATACACGTGACATGTTGTCCTCATTAAGAAATCCATCCTGTCCCTCAGATTCTAATTTACTTCCCTAGGTTCTCATATGATTTTTTTTTTAAACTTTTTTTCTTTATTTTAAAAAATGTGGTATAAAGGGAAGATATTTATTTTTCCTTAGAGTAGTGCTCTATACAATATATTCCATTAGGAATATAATGTAAACCACTTATGTTAAATTTTTTGTTTGTGTCTGCATTTAAAAAAAAAACGGGTGAAATTTAATTTCACCAACTTAACCCATTATACCAAAAAATAATATTTTTACATGTAATTAATTTTAAACAATTGTCAATGAGATATTTTATGTTCTTTTTTTCAGTCTTTGACACTTGGTGTATATTTTACTTACATTACATCTCAGTTCAGACTAGGCATATTTTAGGTGCTCAGCGGCCACATGTGGCTCGTGGATACTGTACTGACCTGGATGCATTAAATGGATTAGATGAATGAGAAATCATCTTTTTTTTTTTTTTTTTTACTGAATTGAAGTGTTACACTTGTCATGTGACATTCCTTCATATTGAGATCTATTTCTGGATTTTTATTTATTTATTTAAAATATATCTTTATTGATTTCAGAGAGAGGAAAGGAGAGGGAGAGAGAGATAGAAACATCAATGATGAGAGAGTCATTGATCAAGCCCACAACCTGGGCATGTGCCCTGAGCGGGAATCGAACCCCGATTGCCCGGATCCCAGGTTGAGCGTTGGCTCAACCGCTGAGCCATGCCCAGCCGGGCTATTTCTGGATTTTTAAAAAATTATTTTTTTAATCCTCACCTGAGGATATTTTTTCCATTGCTTTTTCAGAGAGAGTGGAAGGGGGGTGGCGAGAGAGAAACATTAATGTGAGAGAGACATCGATTGGTTGCCTCCTGGTTGAGGTACATGCAACCGAGGTACATACTCTTGGCCGAAACTGAACCCCTTGGGTCCACGGGTTGATGCTCTAACCATTGAGCCAAACCAACTAGGGCTATTTCTG